ACACATTCCGGTTTCTGGTGGCGGGGTCCCCCATCAACCGAGGTGGCCACTTTGCATAAGAGGAGTCCTTGATCGCCATAAGGATTTCTCCTCACTTCGCGTTGAGGGGTGTGTAGCTCGCCCTTTCAACCGGCGGAGTTCTGGAACGCTGACCTGACTTATGAGATCGCGAAGGAGATCGGCTCCCGGACTTGTTTCCTCCTCTAGTCGGGGACTTGCTTTTTCTTCGTTTATTGCCACCGTTACTTGTGTTGTCACCTTCTCTTTTTCTCTTTTCTTCCGGATTTTCAGTCTTTTGATTCATCTCCTCCTTGGTCCCGATGAACTGATCGGCGAGCTTGAGGAATTCGGTGATGTCTTTAGGCTTGTTAGCCACTACATGCCACTTGAACTCCCTGTGGGTTATACCTTTCTTCGCTGTCGTGAGCCTCACTGTTGGATCTAGGTCGGGGACCTGTAGGCAGGTGTCATTGAAGCATTTGATATAGCTTCTGATAGACTACCCTTCTCTTTGAACTACGTTGAGGAGGCTTTCTTGGGACCTCGGGCACTTCTTGCTGGTGATGAAGTGCGAGGTGAACAACTCTATGAACTGCGCCCAATTTTTGATTGTTCCTAGCGCGAGGTTCTGATACCATGTGCGAGCTACTCCTTTGAATGTGGTGGAGAAAGCCACGCACATGCAGGACTTGTCAGCCCCAGCTAGGTGCATCTGGAACTGAAAGGAGTCTACATGGTCATTCGGATCAAAGGATCTATCATACTTATTGAGAGGAGGCATTTTGAAGTCCTTCGGCATCGCAGGAGCTCAGAGGACAGAGGGGATGACTCGGAGAGGAGACGAACGGTCTTTGTAGCTACTGAGCTCGCCTCCTCTTTACCCTTTACTTGCTCTGGCGAGCTGGCTATTCTGAGTTGTAGTTCGGCGTGCCTTGCGACACCTTCGTTGCTGCTTCTTCGTCGGCTCCGCATTAGTGTTGTTGACCTCTGTGTGGTCGGGTACTGTTCTAGCGTGGGGTGGCTCTGGATGCTGAGGCTGACTGCCATGGATGGAAGGGCCTCACCTTGAGTTCACGGCCAGAACCCCAAACCGGGTACCTGCAAGCGAACCTTCTTGATGCGAAGGCCAAGGTAAAATAGCTCTAGCGGGCTGAGTATCTCCTGATCTGCTTCCAACGTTGCCCAGTGAAGCGGGCAGAGTGACATGTCCATCCCTCCTACCGCGAGGTGAGATCTGGCTCCCAAGAGGAAGTGGAACCTGGGAAGTCTTGCCTCGGTGGGGAGAGCGAGTGTTCTATAGACGAGGTTGATTCTACTATACTGTTGGGTGCCGGGGTGGAACCGACTGCTGATTTTGCTGCAGTGGAGGGAATTGTTGTTGATACTGTTGTTGGTAGAACTGGTGGAGGACTTGCTATTGATAGTGTTGGAACTGTTGGACCTGTTGCATTTGGACCTGAATGGCCCGCACGCAATGTATCAGGTCATCGAACTGGGATTGCCTGACTCCAAGGGAACCACAGACGGTTCAGTGAAGGTCGCGCCAACTATAGGAGGGAGTGGCGCGTTTACCTGTGTAGTCGCTTGGGGCATGGTCAGGGACCCCAGTTGCAGTAAGCAGTATGGTGAACTGACCGATGCAGATAGATGGGAACTGAGGCTGCCCCCCGGAGACGTTCATTTCAGTGTTTTGTCCGACGTTACTAGAAGATGTCATGGATTTTTGAGTTGTTGTTGATAGTGGAAAAGGCTTTTTGTAGCGATTCCAATAGACGGTGCCAAATGATGTAGCGTGATCTAGCTGCTCCCTGCTAGAGGTGATCTGGCTTCCATTCGGATGGCAGACTAGGTTGATCTGCAAGATAGTGAATCAGAGAACCCGAGGTGGCTAACCCGGCGAGGTTGCTCCGATGCTTAAGTTAGCAAACTTGTTGCGAGCTGAAAAATGCTGAGAATATTGAGAGCTAGAGAGCAGAGAAATCACGCGTACCTTGTGCCCTCGAGGTTGGAGCCTTTATATAGTTGAGTCCTTGTGGGTTTCGCGGAGCGGTTCTGGGATCCTCGTCACGATGAGATCCGTTTCCGCGTTAATTGAGGGATAACGTTGCTAACTGATAAGGCTTATCAATTCCACCCAAACCGGGCATGGGGAAGATGAGGCTTACAGTTACGAGGCATGATCCCGTGAGCCCGAAATTTGATGGAGAGATCCCCGGGGTCGTCACGTAGGAGACTGAGTCAATATCCCCGAACTAATGCTCTTTAGTTCTGAACTGGAGTGAACACCGAAGTGCCTTGGGACCGAGGTGGTCCTAATGCGACCTTGTACCGAGGTGGTTTGATTATCCGAGCTCAATTTGTTGTGGACTTGGTATATCGGGCTAAGCTGTCATCTATTAGTCATGTCGTGTCCACGTGTCCCCCTATCACTAGGTTGGGCCAAATCACCCTTCATCAGAGGTCTTTGGGATAGAATCATATTCCCCAGCGGAATTGTCCTCATCCCTCCTATCCTTGGTCGTGCTTATCCACGTGACATGTAGCTGACATAGTTGAGTGGGTAAGATGGAGGGCTACAGTAATAGCTTACAGTCCCAGCCGCGGAGTCAGTGTGTGTCGCGGAGTTGGCCTGGCCCTGTTTACGTGGCTGGGCCGGGCGATGACTGGGCGGCCACATGTCATCTAAGGCCAGCTCAACCATGACCCGAATAGTATTATTTATGACATCATGAAATTATCCATTTTACCCAAATGGTTGAAATACTTACCCACCACCTAGATGAAAAATATGATTTCATTTCTATGTTTATTTTAAAAATATAAAATTTCTTTCATTTTATTAATAATTATTGTGTATGGATTTATTAGTAATTTAATGATGATAAACAAAAGTATTATTTATATTTCTACATTTGTATTATTTATTTATGACATCATGAAACTATCCATTTGACCCAAATGATTGAAATACTTACCCACCCCCTAGATGAAAAATATGATTTAATTTCTATGTTTATTTTAAAAATATAAAATTGCATTTTATTAATAATTATTGTGTATGGATTTATTAGTGGAATTTAATGATGATAAACAAAAGTATACATGTTGGATTCAATGAGAGAGAATGAGATTTATTTAGTGACTTAAATGTGAGACTTAATGAGAGGTAATTGAATGTACTTAATGGTATTTTTTTAATTACATTTCCTGCCCTTTAAATGGAGATAAACTAAATTCAAGAGGAGGGGTATTTAAGTAAAGAAAAATTCCAAAAGCCAATATCTCCTCATTCACACTTTTATTAGTATAGATATAGATTTTCTAAGGTTTCTTATATTTTGTATAACTTAGGTTATATTTCTTTATCTTCTATATTTTTATATTTATAATTTTTTGTGATTCTTTGTTTTTATAATTAATGGGTTGGGTTATGGTGGGTTTGGGTTGAACTCAATCCATTTAATTTTCATAAATGGGTCATCAAAGAATTAGGCACATCTCTAATATGATCTATTTATTATATCAAACAATAATAAACATGTTAAATAAAAGTATTTTATTCAATGGAAATGAAATACAAGATTTAAAATAGACCCAAAAGCGAAACCATTTTCCTATTCAATCAGTGGGTCAATGGTTCAGCTTTTTAGGCCAAATGGATCAACCCATGATATCATAAAAAAAAAATTATGTAAAAAAAAAAAAAAACATTTGGGTGCATCTCTTATATTATGTATTCATCATATTAAACAAAAAATAAGTGTGGTAGATAAGAGTTATTTTTAGTAATGATAGAAATAAAATTAAAAAGTAAATTAACATAAAAAGAAATTTGTTTTTGCATCTAATTAATGATCAAAGGCCCATAGAGAGGCAAATTAAGTGGGCTTAACTCGAGCTCAAATTGACCCTAATTTTAGACATGTTAGTTTCGATTTTCAGTCCTTGACTTGGGCCTATGACTAGGTTCAAAAATTTGGGATTTTTTATTTTTTCAGGTTGGGCCTAAGCTTAGCCCTTAGGTAGCTAAAGTCAGGCTCGATTATATACATACAATTATAAATACATATATACCATATATTTGCATGCATGCATGTATTTGCAATTATATACATGTATTTTATGTCAAATTTTGTCATGGAGCTAATTTGTAGAACCAAGTCGAAGGCTAACCCAAGTGCATGAAATTTCAATGTAGGTTGGGCCCAAGTTGGATAGACTAAGCTTGACTTTGGTTTCAAGCCTTAGGTCCGATGCATAGAGTTGAACAAGGTTAAGCTTAAATTCAGTCCAACTTACATGATTTGTACCATAAAAGTCCAATCGTTTGGGTAAATGGGTTAACCAATAATGTCATAATTAAATAATAAAAAATATAAAAAAATTGATTGAAACACAAAAAATTAAAAAAATAGATAAAAGTTAAAGAAAACTTTGTCATATCTTAGATATTATAAACTTATATATCAAACAAAAATTATTTTTAAAATTAATTATGTAAATAGAATCTTAAAATTACCCAAAAGTGAAATTGCTTTCTTTCAAGTTGAATAGGCCAGCACAATGTCATAATGTCATAATTATATAATAAAAACTCAGAAAATAGATATAAATAAAAAAAAATATAGAAAACACAAATATTTGTCTATAAAATTTATGCACATCTCTAATATTATATATTTATCATAATAAAAAAATAAATATAACAAATAAAATTAGAAGTATTTTTATTAACAATAAAAATGAAATATAAAATTTAAACCCACTAACACACTATGCTTTAATTATTTATCATTTTTGAATAATTCTAATAAGTATATTAAAATTATTAATATTATCTGAAATTGGCATTGTGGTCGATTTTTAAAACATTGATCATCCCTTACCTTTCCTTTCAAACCAAACACCGCCTTAATTCGTGTTTGATTTTTTTTTTTTTTTTTGGTTAATCAGCAATACTTTTTCCCCTTTTCCCCTTTACCCCTTTTCTTTTTCGGTTGCGGGATTTGATTCAGCGGAATCCTATTCTAATTCCACTTCCCATCATAGTTAGAACCAACGATTCAATTCAAGCTTCAAAGACAAACCAGACTACCAGAGTGTCGGAAAGTTTACCCGGTCATTTCATGACTCGCCCACATAACCGAGTTAACTCGTCCGATTGGGGAACAAAGTCTCCGACGAAGACAACGGCACGCTCCACAAATTAGTCTTCCATTTGACCTGATCAAACCGTAAACACATTCGCTTAAGTCTAATTTGTTGACTACCCAGACAAAACCAAAGACAAATTAAATCTCGGTAATGTTAAGTTAACGCTTCTCATGGAGATCTACTGATCTCTCTCTCTCTCTCTCTGTCTCTCTCTCTCTCTGAGTGGAGGAAGAGAGACCCAATTTAGCAGTGGGTTTTTCCTTCCCATCATGCTAGTTAAATCCATCAACTGTGTCGTCGTGGCAATTATGTTGGGTTTTGCTATTTTGATCCTCTTCGGATCTGGGTTCCTCGAATTTCCATCTGTCTCCTCTCCCATTTCATCCTTTTCTGAATCCAAAATTTCGGATAAAGGGGTTCCAGATCCGTTCACAAGCTTGGTGGGCGCATTTAGAAAGTGGGATTATGAGGTGGGCTGTGCTCGATTTAAGGAAAAGTACAAAGGGTCGTCCACAAATGGCTCTTCTTTGCAGGATGTTGATGGTGCTATCGATTGTGGAGAGTTGAAGATGAATCATGTTATTGTTCTGGTTAAAGGGTGGACCTGGATTCCAGATAATTTGGATAATCTTTATCCATGCCGATGTGGGTTGAGCTGCCTCTGGACCAAGTCCCCTGTGCTGGCCGATAAGCCCGATGCGTTGTTGTTTGAGACCACTACACCTCCATCTCTGGTAATTTCTTCCCTTATTTGTGCACAGTTAGTTATCTGTTTATTCGTCAAAGGAAAGAAATATGTGTACTTTTGCTGGTATTTCTACTTATATAGTTTAAATGAATTTCTAAGCATTAATAGTAAGGACGAATCCATTGATGGAGGTGAATTATTGGCTTAATGAGCACAAATCTACTATTTTATACATGGAAATTAGGTAGTGATAATCTTCTCACTATTTATTCTATGAGCTTTTAATTTCTTTTTATTATTTTCAAATTCTTTTTTTATATTGGTAGAATCTGCTATGGTTTGTAAAACTTGACGACTAGGAGATACCCAAATTACCATTTTCATCATATAGGCTTAACCATAAGAAAGGAGTTGTGTTGACCATATCACTAGAATTGAATGATAAATTGGAGATTTTCCTCTCTGATGCTGTGTAATTGATGTAATAATCAAACCAAAAGAAAAAAAAGAAAATTATAAAATGAAAGTAAGACCAGATGTGTTCAACGTTATAAATGCTGAATTATTGAGAAACAACATGATCATAAAACGATGGGAGCTAATAGAAAGGGAAAAAAAAGATGGAGTGAAAATCTGTGGATGCGGAAAAAAAAGTTTGACAAGGCTAACTTGGCACAGTAGCCCCAAGGAAATTAGAAATAATGGTTTGTTTTATTTGGATATGTTAAATGAAGAGCAATGATGCAGTAGTGAAAAAGAGCAATTGTCTGGTACAATGTGATTGGGTTTTTGAGAAAGGATTTGACACTGAAAACAGGATTTAATAGAAGGATTTGAGTAATATGTTGGAATGATGGGGCACAGCATGTTGCAATGATTGAGTGCTTGGAAGGATATACAAGAGCTTTCTAGAAACAGACTAAAAGAGCATGGCACATCATCTTTATTGATTAAATAGAACGGATTGGCGATACAGGATTCATGTGGCCAACCCCATATAGTTGGGACATGAACATGATGATTTAGAACATATTTTGGTTGGGACATGAACATATAGGTGTTTCATCTTGTGACTGAGTCACACAAGGACATGAACTTGCCCCAGGCCCCAGCAAGGTACTAGGAGGAAATTCAACTTTCTCTGGGACCTTGAACTTGACATGTCCATCTCATTTCATCCTATCATTAACCAGTCATTAGCTTCCGTGCATATCCTGTTTCTAGGGAACATTCTGAATTACCAAGAAAGAGTGGAAAATTTGGTAATAGCCTTTTGTTTTAAGATATTGCCTTGCCATCCTTACGAACATAACTTGGTAACTAGGTTGAACAAGTATTAGATGTTTGGCTGAGATTACTATTGATAATGCATGTCTGAACAAATGAATATGCTAGAAGAATAATACATGTATGAAAATCCCTTGAGGTTGATTCTGAATTTCCAAGGAAGGGGATGATCAGTTGGATGAGATGATTTTAGATGAAACACACACAGCTAATAAGTTGATTTATATCAAGGAAGTTGTTAATACTGAGGTGGAGGCAAGCGAAACATTGGGTCTTTTTTCCTGGGGTGAAGAATTTGCTAGGAAGGTATTTAAAGAGTTGGAGGAGAAGGCTAAGCATAATTTTCAAGGCGCCAAGGCGAGGCTAGGCGACAGGGGGGCGCCTTGTCGCCTAGTCGCCTAGGTGCCCGCCTCGGCGATGGATTTTTTTAAGTAAAAATCACATATCCAGTTCCCTAGGTTCCATAACCTTCTTTAATAACTATCCATAATTTTCATAAGCCTATCAGTTTTTCAGATCCCTGCAAGAATCAGATCACATATCCAGAAAATCCAAAGAGATTTCCTTTGGGAAGGTGGAGGTGTCAAGAAAGGGCATCTAGTTAATTGGAATCAGGTCTGTAAACCAAAAGAGGCTGGAGGATTAGGAATCGGGCATTTAAAAGAGAAAAACAATGCCCTTCTTGGAAAATGGCTGTGGAGATTCCCCATGGAACCAAATTCTCTCTGGGCAACTATCATCACCAGCAAGTATGGGTTAAATGCAAATGGTTGGGACTGCAACCTCCGATCAAACTGATCAGCTCTCTCTAATCCCTGGAAAGGTATTTCTGCTATTCACAACCTCTTTTTTTCTTTCATTAGATACAAGGTAGGTAATGGTAATAGAATAAAATTCTGGACGGATTTGTGGTGGAGCAACTCAACATTAGCAGATCTGTGTCCCAGGCTCTACAACCTTACCATAAATAAGGGTGCAACCATCTCCCAGTGCCTTCCCATATCCAGCAATGAAAGAAACCTAAACCTGAACTTCAGAAGACCCTTAAGGGATCCGGAGATCAGTGAGCTAACTGAACTCCTTCTTTCTCTTAGTGAAGCCTACATCTCCCCAAATTCCCAAGATTCCCGAGTCTGGAAACCCCACCCTGGAGGTGAGTTCTCGT